GACTGGAAAGTCCTAGGGGGATAGCCTCTACCATATGAATCTCTACCTCCAGATGAGGTACCACTGAATCTGCCTGAATGACGGGACCTCTTATCCGACCCATGACCACCTCCCTGTGACAGAACCATCTCCACTCTCCTGGCCACATTGGCCGCCTCCTGGAAAGATATCTCACTCCCAGTATCTCTAGCCATCTGAAGATGAATCGGCTGAATAAGACCATCGATAAACCTCCTCACCCTCTCTCTCTCTCAGTAGGAAGTATGACAAGAGCATGGCGAGCTAAGTCGATGAACCTTGTCTCATACTGGGTAACAGTCATGGAACCCTGCTGAAGGTGCTCAAACTGCCTCCGATAGGCCTCTTTCTGAGTAATGGGGAGAAACTTCTCCAGAAATAGCTGTGTGAAATGCTCCAAGGTAAAAGCTGGCGATTTGGCTGACCTAGCTAAGCAATAATCCCTCCACCAAGTCTTGGCAGATCCAGACAAGCGAAATGTAGCAAAATCGACCCCATTGGTCTCAACAATACCCATATTCCTGAGAACCTCGTGGCAACTATCTAGATAATCCTGGGATCCTCAGTAGATGCACCGCTGAAAGTAGATGTGAAGAGCTTGGTGAACCTATCCAGCCTCCACAAAGCATCGGCAGACATAACTGCTCCATCGCCGGTCTGAGCTACCACACCCGGCTAAACTGCTCCAACTGGCTGAACCGCTGGAGTTTGAATCTAGGGAGCTACCTGCTCCGGAGTGCGAGTAGTAGGAGTCTGAGCCCCTCCTCTAGCCTAAGAGATGGCTGGTGCTACATGAAGCAAGCCTACTCGGGTGACGTCCTGAAGACCACTAATCGGACCAGAGCGTCTTGAAGAACTGGGGTAGCAATAAACCCCTCTGGTACCTGAGCTGGGCCCACCGAAACTCCTGGGGATGGAACCTCCTCATCAAAATCAACCTGAGGCTCCGTCACTGGTGTTGCTGCTCGGGGTTGAGCTCTGCCCCTACCTCGGCCTCTAGCACGGCCTCGCCCTCGCCCTCTGCCCCTCGTGGGAGCTGCTGTTGGGGGCTTGGGCTGGTGAGCGGTGGATGAGGAAGCACGTGCTCTCGCCATCTGCGGATGAATAGAGTAGGAGTTCAATTATCATTGAGAAACAGAATCGCACGATAAGAAGGAACAAATGTGAAGTTTTTACCAACTCTGTAGCCTCTGGGGATAAATAAAGACGTCTCTGTACCGATCCCTCAGACTCTACTGAGCTTGTCCACGAATTGTGAGACCTATGCAACCTAGAGCTCTGATACCAACTTATCACGACCCAGATTTCCCCACCCTCGGGAGTCGTGATGGCGCCTACTCGTAGAAGCTAGGCAAGTCACGAAATTAGAAATTCTTAACTCTTTTGTTCTCATCCTTTTTATAACATACATTAATAAGCGATAAACATTTAAATAATAGTGAAATATGAGACTAAGCGGAAGACTTAGATAAAATGAACCAAAATAATAAGAAACTCCACATATGCCTCTACCCAGAAACTGGTGTCACAACATTCACGGACTACTAAGATTACTACACACAACTGTTTGAAAGAAAGTAATATTGTCTGTCTCGAATACAAGAGATATCAGAATATAATAAGGAATAGAGGAGACGTCGGGCCTGCGGACGACTGCAAGGCTACCTCGGTGTCTCGGTAGACTGAAGGCTTAACCGACCCCATATGCTAGTAAGTGTCTGGCCTAACCCCGGCGAGGTAGCGACGAGGCTAGGACCATACCCCACATAAACCTGTGCAGTTACATACATATATGCAACGGAGAAATAATTTGAAACAAACAGTTAAAACTGGGAAGGGGAAACATGCTTCGGGGGAATAACAGATAAGGCAGAATCTCAAAAGAATTATAAGGAAACCAAAATTCAACTTCTAACAAGGATAAGGAAAACAAAGGTAGATTTCACTTTCGGTTCACATCTTGTTGCAGGCGTGCAACTCGATCCTATTTCATCATATGTGGTAGGCATACCAACCAGCTCCCATTTCATTATATCTCGTGGTAGGCGTACCACCCGCTCCCATTTCATTATATCTCGTGGTAGGCGTACCACCCGCTCCCATTTCATTATATCTCCCAGTTACATTCCAACAATAATCACAAGAAATTCCGGCAAGGGAACAAGAGCAATATAACAACTTCCCGGCAAGGGAAACAATGGTATCAAACAAACATCTTGTCAAGGGAACAAGTACTATCAAAACAAACATCCCGGCAAGGGATTATTAATATCAAACAAACATCCTGGCAAGGGAATAATGATGATAATTACATATGAAGCGCAGTAAACCACAAAGGAGTCATAACAGTTACAATACAAGAGTCACGGGCATGGTTGACACCAACGTATAGATACTCGTCACCATGCCTATACGTCGTACTCCACAATTAGCACGTAGCAAATAAGACACAACTCCTAATCCCTCAAGCTAAAGTTAGACCAGACACTTACCTCGATGCCTCGAACACAACTTAAGTTTCAATTATAGCTTTACCCCTTGATTCCTCCGCCAATTCACTCGTATCTAGCCACAAGTTACTTAATTACATCAATAAACGCTAAATGAATCAATTTGAATGCATGAAAATGAGTTTTCCAAAGTTTTACCCAAAAAGTCAAAATCGCCCTCGGTCCCACATGGTCAAAACCCGAGGTTCGGACCAAAACCCGATCACCCATTCTCCCACGAGCTTAAATATGTAATTTGTTTTTGAAATCGGACCTCAAATCGAGGTCCAAATCCCAATTTTTGAAAAACCTAGGTTCTACCCAAAACACCCAATTTTCCCCATGAAAATCATTGATTTGAAGTTGAAATCATGTTAAAAGATGTTAATAATTGAACAAAACTAGTTAAAAATGACTTACAATTGATTTGGAGAAGAAAAGTTGTTCGAAAAATCGCCTCTTATGTTTTTTTGGGGGGTTTTGAAAAATGAAAAATAACTGAAAATCTCGTCTATTTATACCCCTCTCAGACTCCCTGTGCGGACCGCACGAAATGGACTGCGGCCGCACAGTCCTTCCTGGGATACTGCAGATAAGCGCAGGGCTCCTAAGCCGATCCCTCGAGGCTCCTAACCAAACATACGTACTAACTTAGTGACATCATACGAATTTATCCGTGCGATCAAATCGCCAAAATAATCTCAATAACAACGAATTAAAGCTCAAAATCCAAGAATTTTTCTCAAACTTCGTAAAACATCAACTTTTGCAAATTTAAGTCCGAATCACATCAATGACATCCGTTTTTCACCAAATTTTACCGAAATGTCTTAATTCATATACAAGACCTGTACCAGACGCCGGAACTAAAATATGGGCCCGATACCATCGTGTTCTAATCAAATTTCATTTCAAATTTCTTTAAACAATTCTAGAAATAATTTTCTTTAAAAAATCGTTTCTCGAGCTTGGGACCTCGGAATCCGATTCCGGGCATACGCCCAAGTCCCATATTTTCCTACGGACCCTCCAGGACCGTCAAATCACGGGTTCGGATCCGTTTACCCAAAACGTTGACCGAAGTCAAATTTATTCATTTTACAGTCAAAACTTATCATTTTTCACAGATTTTCACATTTAAGCTTTCCGGTTATGCGTCGGGACTGCGCAGGCAAATCGAGGTGACGCTAAATGAGACTTTCAAGGCCTCATGATACAAAATTTCATTTTTAAACAAGTAATGACCTCCTTTCAGGTCATCACAATATGTCCTTTATAATAATATCAGAGTAAAGAAGCCAAAAAATATTTCAACAAAAAGACTGTTCTTGCGAAATTTGACCGTCTTTCCGCATTAGAAAATTTGTGTTATTCATTTGTAAGAAAGTCGACACATTAGTTTGTCTCCCTTAAATATTAAAACGTATATGATGTGAAAATGCATGTGTTATCCTCAAAATTCCAGATGAAAGAAGATTTCTGGTTCGTATTAGAAAGCACTTAACGGGTGCTTTAAAATAAGGATTAAGCTATTTTCGTCTCATCTATGAGTTACGGGTTTCAATTAAAAAATTTAAAGTTTACTTTATTCAATTAAGAAATTTAAAATTTACTTTACAATATGTTTAAAGGGTTGTTACATGTTATATTGTATCATATTATTATTTTAAATACAAAATTTATTTTAAAATTTTATTGTTTTGTATCGCTAAATCTATCGTTATATAACAACAACAAAAAAGTCACTTTAATCACGTCGTTACCTTATCTTTTTCTCCCATCTCGCCCTTCACTATTATTAAATAATTTTATTTTATCATTTACCTTATCTTTTTATATAATAATTTTACCCCATATCATTATAAATTTTATAATAATTTCTGTTTATTCATTTAAATCGAATTATTCACGCGGCCTTTCTATATTTTTATATATACAAAATAGTTCTCATTATTTCTCTTTTTATATGAGATTAAAAAGAGAAGTATGAATATATAAGGCAATTGACCAAATTTCAACAAATATTAAAAATTAACGCAAAAATAAACATAAGTTTAGCAATTTAGTATTTTAATAGTAGAATTATCGAATTAATTCTAATTCCCCCATGTTTCATTAAGATCACAGTGAGGGACCATAAATAAATAGAATTAAAAGATAACTGTTCTAAAGCGGAAACATGCAAATAACCATTTTTAACAAAATAAATCAACAAATTACGGGAACCTGCATTTCCATTTATCCTTTAAACATTACTACTCAGATCTGATATTAGATGATCTAGAGCCCGTTTGGCTTAACTGATTTAGAGTACCTGATAAACATTATGTGCTGAAAAACACTTTTAAGTGCTGAAGCTGATTTAAAAAATAAGCAGTTACGTGTTTGGATAAAAGTGCTGAAATTAATAATAAGCAGCTGAAGAATTAAGCGTACGGAGAGTTTTGTTTTAAAAAGAAGTATTTTAGGGATAGAATAGTAAATATTTTGGTCAAACCTAAAGTGCTTATGAGACCAACTTATGACTTTTGACTTATTTTGACATATAAGCACTTTTAATTTTAACAAACGCGTAGATAAACAAAAAAGTGTTTATAAACCAGTTTGACTAGCTTATAGGCTTAGCCAAACACCCTCCTAATTTGCTCTCCAGGTTCGGGAGGTTTCGGAGGTCTGACATCCGGAGCGTGTGGTGGAAACGCTTCCGGCTGTCCAGGCGGTGATGTCGGTGGCCGTGGTGCTTCATGGCTAGGCGGCGAAGTGTTCGGCGGTTCAGAAAATTCTGGACTGTCAATTCGTGGTGCAGTTGGCGACGGCGACGGCGTTGGAGGGTCTTCACCTGCAGAGACAGACGTAGTGTTAATGTTATTGGTTCATAAATTAACTCATACTTATTTAGACAGACGTAGTCTTGATTTAATTTTTATACATATATTCAATATAATTCTTAATATAAATCAGATGTGGAATCCTTTTTATTTACTGGGTTCTATTTAAATAGATTATTATCGATGGCGGAAAAATTCTGAACCGCTGATATATGTACCCCTCAATTAATTTTTCCAAAGCTATTGAATTCTACGTAACCCGCCACTATAAAATTGGGTCGGGCCCAAATACAAATATGGAGGTCAAATATGGAGGTTAAAGTAGAGTTACTTAATTCAACGAATTCGTAGCTAACCTTTCTAGTTGTTACTCCCTCCGGTTCAGGTTCACAATAAGTGAACAATTTACTTTTTATTTTGATTCAAAATAAGCGTCCAATTATGTAATTAAGAAAGAATTCAATTTATTTTTACAAAATAACCCTTATGTACATACCCTAAAAAGTTTTTTTACTCCTCACATAAATGTTTAATTAGGGGTAGTTTAGTCATAGTAGGTATTTTTTTTATAAAATTTAGTATTTTCTTAATGGGCGTGCTAAAAGCAAATTTATCACTTATTGTGAACCAGAGGGAGTAACCTTCTAGCTGCCTTGCTAGACGTAGAGCAAGCATTTCAACTTTATGGGTTCTAGATTTTAGAAGAACGGTTTTAAAAGCTACTCCCTCCGGTCCAAAATAAGTAATTTTTTGGTTGTTTTCAAACATATTAAGAAATTCACCTTTTAACATTAACTAGCAGTGAAATTGACCATATTAACCTTTATTGTCTCTTCACATAAATACTCCTTACACATACTCAAACATTAATTACTCCAAGGGCAATGTAGGAAAAAAATAATTAATTCATTCTTGAAATCTGGAAAAATTACTTATTTTCGACCACAATAAAAGAGCCAAAAAATCACTTATTTGGACAGGAGGGAGTACTACCTGGGTTCTAAATTTTAACTCAAGTATACTATTTGAGTAAAAATTAGTGGGTTCAGCCGAACCCGCACTTAGGCTTCTGAGTCCTCCCCTTGTGTCTTGCTCATATACTATATATACATGTTAAAACATCCACTACAAAAAAATTAGCCATAAAAAAGTCCGAACTTAATTAAAACTTAAATTCTGAATCAACATCTAATTATCACCTTGTCTTATGGGTGGAATAGCATCAAAATCAGGTACAAAAGGTGAATCCTCCACCGCCGGCGGCGCGTCGGTAGGCGTGGTGATATTTGGTGGCGTTGTGGTAGTAGGAAAATCAGATGGAAGTTTTTCATGTTGGCCTGGCATATTTAGTGTCTTTGGCTCTGCCTCATGGCTCATTTTTCTTAGCCAAAATAGTGAATTATTCAAAGTTTGAACAAGGGATAATGAGGATTTTGCGTTTTTGGCCACTGGAATGGTTCTTTTCATTAACGAGTACTTGGGCCAAATTGTTGAAACTCTCAGCATTCTTAGTTATTCTAACCTGTTTGAGGAGATTGAGACTCAATATAAGTTTTATATATAAGAAAGTGTATTGAATAGTCAGTTTAGGAGACACGTGGAGGTCATGCAACTTCGACATCTGTCCTTCTCCTCGATTGTTTGGATGGTTGTTACCTGTTGTATCGTATCGTATTGTTATTTTAAATATAATGTTTGTTTTGATTGTTACTTAAATTTTATTGTATCGTATCGTTAAATTCGTCATTACATAGCGATAAAATGTGCCATTTTATGTAATGATCGATTTGGTATGATCGTGTTGTTTTCTTGGATTTTTCTCTCAATTTCACCCTTCATTAGTATTAAATAATTTTATTTTATCATTTACCCTACCTTTTTATATACTGTATCATAATTTTTCTTTATAATACTGCAAGTTTATTCATCATATTACTGGTGCATGATACCATGAAACGACGATAAAATGACACAATCTATCCAAACATTATATTCATCAAACGATACAATACAATACAATACGATACATGAAACGATACGTAGCAACCATCCAAACAAGCTGTAAAGGGGGTGTACTCTCTGTAAGTGGAAATTTATAGGTGGAAATTTATAGGTGGAAATTTTGATTAAATATTAGATGAATCAATTATATAAAAAATATAACAAGTTAAATGTTTTCAAATTTACTTTTATTATGTCTCGGTTTGCTTTTGCCGCGTCAATTGGCTTTTTGGCTCTTTACAAACCTATTTTTAATTTTATGATCATACCTCTTTTTTTTACACATGAGATATTTACTTTTACACGTAAGAAATCTATCTTTTACACATAAAAAATAAAAAAAAAATTATTTTTTTAAATTTACAATTATAAAAGGGCATGATGTACAAATAGTACGCTGTCTCGGTTTGCTTTTGCCGGGTCAATTAATTTTTTGGCTCTTTATAAATTTGTTTTGAATTTTATGACCCTATCTCTTTTTTTTACACATGAAATATTTATTTTTACATGTAAAAAATCTATCTTTTACACATAAAAAATTTAAAAAAATTATTTTTTTAAATTCACAATTATAAAAGAACATAATGTACAAATAGCATGCTTTTACAACTGGTCCAGTCCATTATCTAAAAACGCAAGAGTCTTCTAAAACCTTAGGTATAAGTTAAAATAACATAGTTATGGTATAGGTTCAAAACCTATTGATTATTGAATGCAATTTGTTTTCATATATTTTTGTATATCATTTTTAACTATGACGTGTTTTAAAATCATAACCTCCCAAAATTTTCTTTCTTGCTTATCCGTGGATTTAATTGTACTTGATCATTTTACTTTTTTTAATTTCTTTACTACAGTCATTAATCTTTTTGGTGTTCCAGCATGAACTCTCCCGTACGTTAATTGTAACCCATTTTCGAATGATTTATTATTAATACAAAATAAAAAATAAAATAAAAAAGTAATCAAGAACCTATACAAAGTCTGAAGGATCTTGAAGTTAAAATGTGTAGAAATTCCCAGTGAAACAAACACTATACTTGCCAAAAGAACATAAAAACGTCTTCATAAACGGAAAATTTTATTTTGTGTCTCGTACAATTGAGACTAGTTGTATGAGTCAACTTTTTTGTCTTACAATTTTGTGGACCCAGATTTCTGTGGACCCAGAAATATAAGATTGAGGTCTACAAATTTGTGAGACAAACAGAGATTAGTTGTATGAGGCAACTTTTTTATCTCATAATTTTGTGGACCCAGATTTCTATGGACCCAGAATGATAAGATTGGACCAAACATACACAAAATAAAACTTGTCAACCTACACTAACATCAAAATCTTTCACCTGCCCTAAAAGCAACCGGCCCAAAAGTGATAATGGGCGGCAGAATATCCGGCAGCGACGGGTGTGGCGGCCCAGGTTCCGGCAGCTTTGGAGGTATAACATCCGGTCCACCAGGCGGAACAATCTCCGGCGGTCCCGGCGGTATAACATCCGGCCCACCCGGAGGAACAATTTCCGGGATAGCCGGAGGTATAACGACCGGGCCACCAGGCGGAGAAATCTCCGGCGGTGGCTCAGGCATATCTGGTCCTGATGGGTCATGACCAGGTGGTAAGGGATTTGGTAGGCCGGGAAAACCAGGGCCCGGGCTCGGAGGCGACAACGGTGGCTTTTCAGCTGGCTTTTCCGGTGGGATTGGATCAAATTCTGGAACATTAGGCGTTTGGGGCATCTCAGGAGGCACAGAAGGTTGCTGTCTGGCTCTCATCTGAGCTGAAACTGATGTGAGATTTGGGCCATTTATTTTGAAGGTTTCAACCATTAATGGAGCTGTAAATAAGGTTGAGTGGTTTAATGGAATTGTCTTCTTGAGAAAACTCTGTGAAATGGCCAATACATAAGACATTTGTTCTCGTTCGTTCCTACTGTAATTTTCGTAATTGCAAAAAACTTTTTCAGATAAAGATTATTGTTTAGTTTATCGCTTGTCTAACTTATAACTCATCTTGTCCAAAATAATAAAGAGTGAGGGAAAAGATCAACTAGAAAATAAAAAAAATAAAAAAAATTATTTTTGCATGAGGGATTATCATGAGGATATGACACTTGTGCATGGACAAGACACTCAAAGCCATGCAGCAACTAGCAACCACGTTGGAGCGCCATCAAACTCCGGACCTCTTCTTTCTTTCTTTATTTTATGGTATTTTATGTTATTTTATTATGAGTCTATTAATAGTACTAATATAATGTCTCTTATTGCTTTTTTAAGCCGAGGGTCTCCTGGTAACAGTTTCTCTGCCCCTCGGGGTAGAGATAAGCAGAGGCAGATTTAGGGGGGTGTAAGGGGGTTCACCCGAACTCCGTTCGCCGAAAAAATACACTGTATATATAAGGCAAAATCTGTTTTTTACCTCTATATATTAAGTTTTGAACCCCCTTAACACAATTCAAAAGTGTAGTTTAGGGGTCAAGGGGGGTTCAAAATCTACATAAGGTCATGAGTTCAATTCCCACTAGATACAAAATTTTTTTTTGAACCCCCTTCGTGGAGATCCTGCCTCCGCCACTGGAGGTAAGGTCTGCATACATATTACCCTCCCCAGACCCCACTTGTGAGATTATACTGGGTTGTTGTTGTATTTTTCAAACAATACTCCGTATTTATTAATTACAGTATTTCACTAGTTTTAATTTATATGATATAGTTTAGCTCGATATAAATTTAATAAATAAAAAATATTTTGACATTGGTGATTTTAGAAGTTTAAAGGATAAAATTTATTATATGAATATAATATTTATGTGGTTATAAAAGCTTTACATGAATAATAAAATAAAGAATAATTTTAAATTAAATTATTTTCATATATTAAAATTTATCTTTTTTTTAACGAATTTATCTATCTATACTATATTAAAAGCACGAATGTCTTTGGAGAAATGTCGTTTGCCTTTTTTACCCTTTTAAAATAGAATTCATATTGGACAAAATAGTCATTTAATTATTCTTCTAATATTTTGGAATAGTCATTTATTTAATTTTCTAATATTTAGGAATAGTTATTTAATTTTTTCCCTAAAATTTAGGACTTTAAATCAACTCGAATTCTCCTATTAGATTTTTCCTTATTTGAATTAGAATTATTTTTTTTAAATTATGTTTGAACTCCTTTTGTGTATGGACTACATGCAACATCAGCATTAACTATTAAGACTAGCATCAACTAAAATTTTATAGTACTATTTATACATGTGCACAAAGAATAATTTGAGGTAGCTTATAATTTTTTTTATTTATGTCTGTAAATAGTTTGATCATTAACAAGGGATAGAGAAATTAAAGGGAAAAAGAATTAGGGAATTTCAGATAAATCTTCTAAGCCTAGCCTATGAGATAAATTTGTATAAATCTTCTATTTTACATGCACAATAGTTGATTTTAAAATACTAAATATAAAAAAACTAACATGAAAATTGTTATAATTATGTTATATAATTCAAATAAATAAATAATTTATATAAGTAAAATTTTATATGAAATGTGAGTCCTTTTTTAAACTGTGTACGTAAACTAAAATTTCAACTAGAATGATTTTTAAATCATTTAGATGGTCAACTAAAATTCTAGAATGGTATTTATTTGAGGTGTGCATTTAGTTAATCATGATATTTAGAACTTTAAAGTCAATTAAAGGATCGGACATGGAGGATATTAATCCAAAATCTTAGTGCTTGAACTTTTAACTCGTGAATCTTCGCAGTAGGTCAACAACAACAACAACCCAGTATAATCTCACAAGTGGGGTCTGGGGAGGGTAATATGTACGCAGACCTTACCCCTACCCCGAAGGGTAGAGAGGCTGTTTCCAGGAGACCCTCGGCTCAAAAAAGTTCATTTTGATTCAGTATGTTCAAGAAGTGAAATCTAAAATGTAGTAAAAAGTTTCAAAATTCTCTCATGTTCTTTACTTTTGTCTGCTAAATAACTCTTTTTGATCATAAAATTTAATGTTTCTTTTAATTTAGTAGAACTAAGTTGTAATTTAATTTATAGGGTAATACGTTACTCTCATGGCTCATATGTCATTCTTTTTCTTCAAAATCTGAAGTGCAAGACAACATTAACTGTTATACTTATCATTCTTCTTGCTGAAAATTTAAAGGTGTGAGATATATATATATATAGATATAATTTTATTCATGGTCATTGAACTTTGTGTTTGTTACCTAAAAGTCATTTTTCTTTTTTTTGTTATGTAAAAGTCATTCAACTTTGTGTTCATTACACAAAAGTCACTTTTCTTTCTTTTGTTACACAAAAATCATTTTACTTTGCTCTAGTTATCACAAAAGTTACATTTTTACTTGAAAAGTCTATTATGCCCTTGATATTATATAAATCTCCATATTTATGTAATACCTTCTATATTATATACTATATAATATATTTTTAACTATGTATTTTATTTAAAAATAAAATAACTTAATATTATTTTATTTATTATTTTTATAATATATTCGTTAATTTAATTTTTTTCTTAACGTTAATTTTCAAAACATATTAGTAGCGTTATTAAGTTTGTCAGTAACTTTAATATATATTAGTAGAGAAATAAATTGGCAAGTACATTTCCATGAGAAAATTCGCAGGTAAACAAACAAAGAAAATGAAGAAAAATCATATGTTAATCTGAAGAAAAATCCCTAGGTACTATATGCGAATTTAGCTAGCGATTTTTTTTGGGGATTTACCTGGGCAATTGTTATTTGGGAAATTACATTACTAGAAATTCGGGAAAAATTGTCCAAAAAAATCGACCAAAGTTGGTCGGTAATGGCCGATAATCATCCAAAATGCGTCCATTAACGTGTGGTCGGTGTTTTGAAGGTCGTAAGGGAATACCGACCAACTTTGGTTGGTCAATTAAATTTTAAAAAAAAAAGTTATTTTATAACGCTACTAATATATCTTGAAAATTAAAGTTAAGAAAAAAATTAAATATACAAATATTTTATAAAAATAATATTAAGTTATTTAATTTATAAATAAAATATNTTTATCATTATGATAGGATACAGAAATACATATAAAAATTAAAATAAAATTGACTGATGTCAAATTAAAGATTAAGAACATAGGAATAGTATTTTCAAAGCCATAAGATGCTTGGTTGCAACAATACAACGTACATAAAAATTAATCTCAATAGTTATGTCATCTTTTCATCAAATTTTTACAACACAGTAAACAAGGGCGGATTTAGAGTAAAGGATACGGGTTCCCGTAAATCCAGTAACTTTTGCATATATCCTGTATTTGTACTAAAAAATTCATTAAAAGTATAAGAATATTTAGCTTGGAACTCAGTTTGTTGGTCCAGTTATCATGTAGATTAATTTGAGATTGTTATAGGAACTCATAAGCTTAAAATTCTGGATCCGCCTCTGACAGTAAATATATAATTCTTACTTTTAGCTAATAGATTATTTTCAATTTAGAAAGAAGAATATGCTATTTATCATTAATTGGTATTTAGTGTGGTATTTGGTCGTCTATTGATGCAGGGCTTTACCTGCTAGTTTTACTATACCGGCCATCTATTTCATATTTCGTATTTCGTATTCTGTATTTCATATCTCTTATATTGCTGTTATTTTATTATGCATTTTTATGGTACTAATATATCGGCTCCTGTTGCTTTTTTTTGAGCCGAGGGTCTCCTGGAAACAGCCTCTCTACCCTTCGGGGTAGGGGTAAGGTCTGCGTACATATTACCCTCCCCAGACCCCACTTGTGGGATTATACTGGGTCGTTGTCGTTGTTGTTGTAAAGAACTCACGTTTCATTTTTCACTTAATACATAAATGGAGACCACTAGATTGGAAAACGTTTAATTGCAAAGGAGTTATACGGAGTTGTAAAAGTTAATGAAATGAAAATTAAACATGAAGTTATAGAAGCGAACAACAATAACAATGAAGACCCATAAATTATTTTTAAAAAAATATTAAAATAGAAACGAACTAATGGAATAACATTCTCTAATTAGTATAAGCTTTAATTATTCTTGTCCAAGTGCAATTTTTTTTTTTAAAATAAAGAGCAACTTATGATGACACATCATTTAATATTTATTTTATAATTTTCACTTGATCTATGTTTTTACCTCAAATACTATTTTAATTTCTTTTAAACAAATATTAACCGATAATAATTATCTACTAGCCATATTTTTATTCTATAATAATGTTGTAGCATAGGATTTCAGGAATTTATTTATATGATAAAAAAATATAATTTATTCATAAATTTCTATTATTAACGTTATAAACATGTGTAACACACGTACATTAAAGCTAGTTAATAATAAAAATATGTCAAAGGAAGGAGTATATGGTAAATGATTATGTCGGCGTCGTAAATATGTGCCAGAATTACAAAAGACTTTAAGCCAAATAAATCAAAATTATTGTGTCGGCATCGATATTAATCGGTGCGATTATTGAAAATAAAAAATATCGAAGCGAAATCAAAAGGAACACTATATTATAAACTGTAAATTGATGTGTGAAAATTACTCCCCTTTTTATATGATGGCTTTTGATTAACTACAACATTTAAAGAAAAAAAAAACTACGCATACAAAAAATATTATTAGAACTTATGATGTTTAAATTCATCATAGTATTTTTATGTTTATAAAAGTATATTAGACCGAAGGGATTCTTGGAGCAACGGTAAAATTGTCTATGTGATATTTATAGGTTACGGGTTCGAGTCGTGAAAGCAACCACTAATGCTTGCATTATTAGCAAAATAATTGGATGAAATAATCTGGCTTTGATAGTGTAATTACTATTCTTAAGAAATTTAAGCTTTCCACTTTATTGCTGCAAGGATAATAGCAAAATTCCTCCAGGATTTTATAAAGCCTTTGCAATTCGAGTTTCAGCAGCTAACTCGAATTTTCCACAAGAACAGAATCTTTGTGAGTTGTAGAAAATAAGTAGAAGAGAAAGATATGGAAAATTTCAGATGATTTCGTTTTGGAGATGATATGGGTATTTATAATATCTCTAGTAGTCTGTTGGAATTAACAGACTCGTCTTTTCATAATAGACACTTTTTTAAACTAATAATCACCTTTTTGAATACAAAAGAAAACTATTAAAAACGTTTTCTGAAATTTAATTTTAAAAACGTTTTAAATTAATTACTAGGTGACTAAAAATTAATTCCGGACTACTTAATAGGCCCAAAAGCCCAATTGGGCCCAAGTGCCCAATCTTGACTATTAATAATTTTCAATTTTCCTCCAAAATATCCTTTTAAATACTCAAACTATACAAGACAAAGAAGTGCTTTTAAACACTTCTTCCTTTCTTTCTTTTTCCAATGAGGGACAAAACAACCTCTTCTCAAATACTTCCATCAAACACTAACTAATCTAACATGCATAACGTAGGTTGTTTACATCACACCCCTGGGAGTGCGGCCCTTCCTCAGACCCCGCATGAACGCTAATACTTTGTGCACTAGACTGCCCTTTTATTCTGATAATAGATTGATACTGCTCATAAGTTACGCAAACTCACTTACAAGCTCACATTATGATAATACTGATACTGCTTATGTAAAATCCTGCGTATGTCACTGCCGAAAACACATTTAATTCATACATACTCAATGAGCTAAGCAGCAGCAATGTAGAGCTGTAACAGAAATCCCTATACTCCCTCTTCTCCTCTATGCTATTCCATCTTCTAAACTCTGTTTTCTCTTCTATTTCTGACCATCAATATTCATGGCTGACAAAATGTGAAGAGGTTTAAGCTCAGTCCAGTGATGGTCTTTACTCTTTACTTTAATGTTGATAATAGTCAGGGGCGGAGCTAGAGTGTAGCTACTGGGTTCGGCCGAACCCAGTAGCTTTGGTTCGAATTCTGTATTTGTCTTAAAAAATCCATTGAATATGTATAAATTATAAATTTAGAACCCAATAGATTAAAAAGATTAGAATTACGAACCCATAAGCTTGAAATACTGGCTCCGCCTATGATAATAGTGGAGATTAATAGTCCAATGTGTTAATCTGAGCTAAATCACCTACTTATTCATTTTGCCAGCTCTATTTCCAGTTGATATAAACGTTGCTGTAGTTCTCACTGCCCAAATAAAGGCCAGAATTTTAAAGTAAGAATCTTCAAATATTGTATTCCTTCATCCTTGAAGGAGTAAGTAATTCATCACCGCTATAAGAAAGGCTCAGATGTACCGCTCGAAGAGACTCGGACA